CAAAGTATCAAAAGAATGAGATAGAAAAGATTATCAAAGAAATGCTCCAGTCTGGGATTATACAGCACAACAATAGTCCCTACATTAGTCCTATCTTGTTAGCCGAAAAGAAGGATGGGGGTGGAAGTTTTGTGGAGATTATAGAGCTCTAAATCAGATGATTATTCCAGATAAATTCCCCATACTTATTATAGAAGAGTTGTTGGATGAGCTAGGAAGGGCCACTATATTTACTAAGTTGGATCTCAAATGTGGCTATCATCAAATCAGGATGAAGGAGGCAAATATTCAAAAAAGTGCTTTTAGGACCCATGAAGGACATTATGAGTATTTGGTCATGCCATTTGGGTTAACTAATGCCCCCTCCACTTTTCAGGCTCTTATGAATAAGGTTGTAAGACCTTTTTGAGAAGATTTGATTTGGTATTTTTTGATAACATACTTGTTTACAGCCAGACTAAGGAGGAACATCAAGATCATCTGAGGAGGGTTTTAAATGCCTTGAAGGAGAATCAATTGGTGGTCAACCTAAAGAAGTGCTCATTTGGTCAGTCACATTTAGTTTATTTGGGGAATATTATTTCTGGAGTAGGAGTTTCAGCTGATCCATCTAAGATTGAAGCCATGATCAATTGGCCAGAACCAAAAGATTTGAAGGGTTTGAGAGGATTTTTGGGGTTGACTAGATATTATAGAAGGTTTGTTAAAGGGTATGGCAAGCTTGTTTTACCCCTTACACAGCTTCTTAAGAAGGACAAATTTCAATGGGACCAAAGGGCAACTACTGCATTTGAAGAATTGAAGAGAGCAATGACTTCATTACCTGTTTTAGCAACACCTGATTTCAACAAATTGTTTACTCCGGAGACTGATGCATCTGGAACAGGCCTGGGGGCAGTTCTGATGCAAGAAGGAAGGCATATTGCTTATATGAGCAAAGAACTTCAAAGAGAAATCAGAATAAGTCTGTGTATGAAAGAGAGCTGATGGCTATTGAGCTAGCTGTACAAAAATGGAGGCCCTGCTTATTAGGAAGAACTTTTGAGATTCATATAGATCAGAGGAGTTTGAAATTTTTGGCTGAACAGAGACTTATGGGTGAGGAACGGCAGAAGTGGACCTCTAAATTGTTAGGCTACAATTTCATTATCAAATATAAGCCTGGGGTTGACAACATAGTTGCAGATGCTCTATCAAGAAAACATGTCTTACATTCTCTTTCCATTGTTACTTGTCATGAGTGGGAAGGTTGGAGGATGAGTTAAATTCATATCCTAGATACCATGAGCTAATTCATAAGGTAATATCTCAACCTGATAATTATCCAGACTTTCAGATAATTAAAGGGTTATTATATTACCAGAGGAAACTTGTTCTACCAAGACAATCTCCTAGACTAACCAAAGTTTTAAAGGAATATCATGACTCATCTGTGGGAGGACATTCCGGGTACTTTAGAACTATGAAGAGGATAACTAATCTGTTTTACTGGCATGGTATGAAGACAGACATCAAGAAATTTTTAGAAGGGTGTAGTGTTTGTCAAACCAATAAATATCAAGCCCTTAAGCCAGCCGATTGATACAGCCTCTGCCTACTCCCAGTAGCATTTAGACTGACATCAGCATGGATTTCATAGGTGGTTTACCTAAATCCCAATGCAAGGATACCATATTGGTGGTTGTGGATAGGCTGACCAAATATGCACATTTCCTAGCACTCTCCCACCCTTATAATGTTAAAGAAGTTGTAGAATTGTTCACAAAAGAGGTGGTGAAATTACATGGTTTCCCTAAGACTATTGTGAGTGATAGGGATAGGCTCTTCATGATGAGCTCCTTCTGATCAGAGCTTTTCAAACTGGCAGGCACACAACTCAAGTACAGTACAGCTTACCACCCTCAGACTAATGGACAGACTGAGGTGGTAAATCGATGCTCGGAAACTTGCTTCACATGCATTACTGGGAGAAAACCTAAGCAGTGGTGTTAATGGTTACACTGGACTGAATTTTGGTATAACACAAATTATCATTCTTCTTTGAAACTGACACCTTATAGGGCTCTCTTTGGAAAAAATCCTCCTGCAGTTATCAGGGGAGATGTGACTTTAACTGCTGTAGAGGAGGTGTCTCAGTTAACAGCTCAAAGAAATGTTATGTTAGAAGAACTGAAGGGAAATTTAGCTAAAGCTCAGAACTTGATGCAACAGCAAGCCAATAAGCATAGAAGAGAGGTGCAAATAAATGTTGGAGATCTAGTGTATTTTAAAATACAGCCTTATAAACTCAAGAGTCTAGCCAAAAGGATAAATCAAAATTTGAGCCCCACATTATATGGCCCATTTGAGATTATTGAAAGGATTGGGCCTGTAGCTTATAAGCTCATGCTTCCAGTTGACAGTAATACATCCTGTATTTCATGTCTCGTTACTTAAGAAAGTGTTAGCCCCTAACACTTCTTTTCAGCCTTTTCCTAAATGCCTCAATGAAGAACTAGAGTTACAGGTTATTACAGAGAAAGTTGTGAATACAAGGATGGATTCAGAAGGAAAAGAGGAGGTTTTAATACACTGGAAGGGTCTGCCAAGGTTTGAAGACTCATGGGAACCAGTGCAAGTAATGAAGGAACTCTTCCCAGCTTTTCACCTTGGGGACAAGGTGAATTTCTAGGGGGGAGTATTGATAGACAGACAGCTCAGCAACCTATTAAATATTTTAATAAAGTGTATAAGAGGAAGGGAAGGCTAGTTAGTAATTAGCTAACTAATTTGTTTCGCTCTTTTATTCCTGCGTGGAAATATTACTATAAATAGAAGGCCATTGGCTGGCAGAGGGGTAGGCTATATTTTCTGTTCAGAATGGACTTTGGAGATTGGGCATCTCGAATAAGCCTCTGAGCACTGTATCCATGTGATCTGTTCAGTTTGAGAATAAAGTTTTCTGAATTGTTCTTCCCAATTATATTGTATTACTTTCAAATTGTAGAGTTTGGATTATCAGTGATCTATCAAAGCTCATATGTAGAACTCACCCCCAAAAGATCAGTGGATTAGGAGGGGACATCTTGCTTAAAAGCCATTGGTCAAGCCCATACTTGACCGGTGTGGAATCGTTACATACAAGTAGAATAGTGGTAATTCTATAGTCGACTGCCCTTAGACTATATGAGCTAAATCGAGAGATATTACTTAACGTGAAAATTTTGCGCATTAAAATTGAGAATTATATGGAAATTTTCATATATATGTCATACTGATAGTATAGAATTATGTTTGTTTATGTGTGTAATTTTAACTAGTTTTATTTGTTGTTGTTTGGGAAATTACACACTTTTGGTGTAATACTTTAGTTTTCCTATTTTGTTTGTAATTTGTTTAGATTAGGATTATTCTGAGCTTTAACTAAGTAAAGATCATCAAAAGGATCCTCGGAAAGGTAAAGGAAAGGGCAAGGGAACAAGATCAAGTGAAAATTTGGAGAAATAGTCATTTACCCGATCGGGTAAACCATTTACTCGATCGGGTAAACCATTTACCCGATCGGGTATTGACTTGATCCGAAAATCAAATCTGATTTGGAGGCAATTTAACGTGTAGGCAAAGATTTGGCAAAGATTTGTCTTTTACCCGATCGGGTAAATCAAAAACCCGGTCGGGTATAATGTGACGGATGAAGGTTCCGGGCACTTACTCAAGAAACCCGATCGGGTTTCTCAAAAACCCGGTCGGTTAAATGGCCCTTGCAGCTCCAAACACCTATAAATACACCCCTTTTCCTTCCCATTTGATCACCAATTCACATACTCTCTTAAGCTCAGTTTAGAATAGCATTTCTTTATATTTTTCTAGCATGTTTAGTCTCCAAATGAGGAGCTAAACTTCCATTTCTTGGTGTTGCTCTTGAAGCTTGTTGATTATTAAAGTTGTGAATTATTTTTTTAACTTCTTCCCTTGAATATTAATTCTTCCCTTAATCTATCTCTATATCAATGTTGGGGAGTGTTGCTAAGATGACAATTAGTTAACATCTCGACATTAATTACTACTAGAAACGATCAACGAACCGATGGTTAATCGTTGATGGTTTCACAAGTAACTTCGGTTTATTAATGCACGGTCGTGGTTAATAAACTTAAGAGTGATTAATTTTGTTGGTTAAACCGAAACCGTTGTGTTGAGGTTATCAATCTCAATTGATTTCATCAAGAAGTTAAGAAATTAAATGCTACTATCAAGTCGGTATATGCGGTGTTCTATACTTGACTAATAGTAAGGGTTATTAATGAACTGTCGTTTTTAATAACTACCCTCGATGAATTGGATATACTCCTTGATTGAGTATTCGAGAGGGGATAAGTTATAGATATAATAATAATCGACTAAATATATCAACAAGTGGAAAGTAGCAAGACCAAGTTCTCTTTATTCTTGAATTAAATCACATATAAGTCATTCATCTTCGTGTTTAATTAAATTAAATCACTCAATCCTAAAAAACCCATTTTATTTACTAGTTTTATTAAAAAGAGAATTATTCTTTTCCCTGTGGATACGAACTCTACTTCACCTATACTACGTATAAGTTTTAGTATCGATTTTATTTTGACGCACTACGACAAAGTGGTCGTCACATACATTTAATTTATTCTATAATGTACATTTCTAACATCACTTTAGACATACTCTAACTGAATAGAACTCTCATAGCGTTGAAATGTATACATATATGCACATAATTGCAGCTGGAACTCTGGAAGCAAGACACCCAGAATAATCATAGGCTTTGAAAGACTTGGCTAAAGAGTTGGGATAATTTGGTGTCGTTACTCATTAGTGAGATCTGTTCCCTTGTGTATCAATCCCCTTGATAGATTGATACACATCTGGATTTAAGTATTTCATTACTAGTGTTACTCATCTGTATATTTGGTCACATTACACAATGAGGAAATGGACATTATTTGCAACTTCTTGTTCTCCACAATTGGTTAAGAGTGCACTAACATAATGCCCATGTATAGACAAAAGCAATAAGGTGTCTCATTTATATCTTTAACGTACATAGGTTAAATCATTTACAACAATATTTGCATTTATGTATTTTGCATATTAGTAGTGTGTAGCTGTGCAAACGATTTCTTTTCAACTTTGTTCATAAGACTTGCATTTATGTACATGATCTCATCTCCTCACCCTCGTCTTTGGTTGGAAAGCAGCAGACATTGCACGCAATCGGTTTGTTATCTCTGTAAATGATGGCCTTGCCGCTGGATCGAATTCCCAACAATCTTCCATCAACTTTCGCCATGCAGAATCACACCGTTGAGGAATTGGAGGCCTAAGAGTGTTATTTACAATGCCACCTTGCACACAAGATGGACCAAAGAACAACAGTTAATTAGGTTAATACTTCAATTTTTATAGAAAAAACAAACAAAAACAAAAAAATAGAATACACCTTCCAAAGATTTTATAATTCAAGTAGGGTTCACTCAGCAAGGCCACAAGACCCTTGGACAAAAAACCACTCTAAAAGATTGGAGTCAAGTTCTTAGCTAAACGACCCAAGGGGTTGAGTTTTGTCACTCAGCTAGTTCATCCCAAAATTTAATCAACTCATCATTCTATGTTAAGTTTTCTCAACAAAGTGGGACAAACCTGGTCTAAGATAAACTTCAAAATTGTGTTATGGTCACTTATCTGGGTCATAAAACACTTGGAAAAACCACATGAAAAGATTCAATACAATCTTTTTATAACCTGAGGTGATGTGGAACTCTAATGTGTAACAGTCTTCCAGCTTAAACAGATTCTGAGTTCTTTCCTTTCTTAGGCCCACCTAATTCCAGTTTTACTTCTCATCTACCCAGTCAGATGCTTAGCACTATTCACAACATGTTAAGGAGACGATGAAAAAACATACCTATGATTGTGCCACAGTGCATGCTTGCAAAAGGCTCCTCTCCTGTCAAGATCTCCCACATTGTAATGCCAAATGAGAAAACATCAACCTGGAATAAAAAAAGAACTTCATTGGTTCACTTTTAGGTGAAATATAACTTGATACTATCTAAAGCTAAAAAAATCGAATATGAGATGCATCACTTTTTCTGAAACCCGACTGCTACTCCCATTTAATAACTCGGGTGCCATCCATGGAAGTGTTCCTCGAACACCACCCGAAACAAGAGTATTCTGTTTTATTCTTGACAATCCAAAATCACCAACCTGAAACATTAAGTGTTCATTAATTATGTTAAAATAAATAGTAGAAGAAATGAAAATTCACGGAAAAAAGGACTGGTTATTATGATATATAAGAACAAGCACATTTGTGTATGTGTGCGCATGCATGGCGTTTGGTTGAAACTCAACTGTATGCGCAGATTTACCTTGCAAATAGGTCGTTGTGGATCTCCCAGATTGACAAGCAAGTTCTCGCACTTCAAATCAAAATGAACAATATTTTTCAAATGCAAGTATTCCATACCAAATGCAGCATCTAATGCAATCATAAGTTTTTTTCGTCTGTCAAGAGTTCTGCAAAAAAGAGGCATATATTCCCAAATGTAACATGTTTCTGTTTAGTGTTCCACATTGGATGCTTGCTAGTATAGATAAGTCTGAAATAAACCCAACTTAGTATGGTATGAGAGTTCAGTCTGCAGATAGAGGTTTGTTTATTTGTATGTTTAACTCATTTATCCACCTCTGAAATTGCCCAACCCGTGACATAGGATGCTTACTTAAACTATAGCTAATATAACGGTGAGACAATCATAAGGATCCTTTTTGGGTGAGTTAGGCCTAATTTAATAGTTTCAAAAAGTGTGGTAACATGATACTCACTATAAGCTAAAAGATGATAGCAAAAAATTACATTAATAATAGTAATGTTCCATGATTTGCTTGTTTATTTTATAATATCATGTTAGGTTTAATTTAATAATTTCAGAAAGTGTGGTAATATGAGTGGTTCACTATTTGCCTGATTCTTTTATATGTGGTAATGGTTCACTATTTATAATATCATGGTAATGTTCCACGATTTGCTTGATTATTTTATAATATCAATCATGTATTGAGATTTTCCATCATTTGTAATGAAGCCAAAGACTCACTATTTTTTGGCTTGGGAGTATGATGGAATAAAGAAAAATGGCTCACTAAACTGTCTGTGCTGCTTTATTATGAAGCAGTAGTCGCAATTTTCGACGCGAATTTCACTATGGGTCATCCGGAAACAGTCTCTCGGTGCTTTAGTACAAGAGTAAGATTGCGTACATCTAACCCCCCCTAGCCCCGTCGTAGATGGGAGCCTTTGCGGCACTGGGGTAATGATGATGATCAATCATGTATTAAGACATGACTATAGCAAAAATCTCTATTAGTCATCAACAATCATCAGGTGTTGAAAAACCTATTTATGTTCTTTTTAGTTTTAACTGGTTTTTGACAATTCATTGATATTATAAGTATGATGCAATTGAACCCAATGTTGTTCAGATTAAGGTGATGCTGATGGTGGATAATAGAAGCAGTAACAACAATGGTAAATTGGTAACATGACCTCACCTGTCCTTCCTTCGAAGTACATGCCTCAGTGACCCATTAGCCATGTATTCAGTAACTGTAGCCATTGTTCCTTCTGGTCCATCAGGAACCACCCCATAGAATGCTACTACATTTGGGTGGCGGAGGTCTGAAAGAATCTTAGCCTCCCTCCAGAAATCATTGGTCTGCAAAATAGTGAAATATGTCATACACACACATATATATTCATTGTACCAATAAGGCTTCAATATGTTTTTAGTCCCTATAAATATAGTGCTTTTGGTATTATGTCCCATTATGTCCCAGGCTCCCGGCCAAAAGTAATCATTACAACTGCCTCAAAGTTGGGGAAGGATGAAAAGGATGATAGCATATATCGAGGGATGAAAAATAGAAATGAAAAATGGAGGGGATCTATAACAAATGTGTTAAAATTGCAAAGACTCAATACACATTTAGGTCTACAATCAATATCTTCTTATCCTATCTCGATCACAGTATTTTCAGAGAATTTATCTTGTTGCCTTATACTACCTCCGTCCCGGTGGACTTTGCCAAGTGTAAAGACTCGATACACATTTAGGTGTACAATCAATATCTTCTTATCCTATCTCGATCACAGTATTTTCAGAGAATTTATCTTGTTGCCTTATACTACCTCCGTCCCGGTGGACTTTGCCAAGTGTAAAGTAGGTGAGAAATAATAGTAAATATTATGTGTGGTTGAGATTTATGCAGAGGAGAGAGAAATGTGTAGAACCACGAATTAGTTGCTTTAATAGGAAAGTGTCAAAGTTTTTTGGGACAACCAAAAAAAGAAAGATGGCAAAGTCCAATGGGACGGAGGGAGTAGTAACATTCCCCAAATGAGCTCTGGGGCCTACTAAAACTGAGCTGTATTTTAATACCAATTTATGGGTCTGAGTTGTGGGGCACCTACCAACCGTTCTTGCTCAGATAATCGGCCAGCAAAACAGCTCTTTTTTATCATCTTGATAGCAACATCTGTTCCCCTCCACTTTCCATGATGTACAGTCCCAAATGTACCAGATCCCAACTCCCGTAGCTCTTCAAGATCACTATTTCTTATAATCTGAGCAAAGAAGCTGAAAACATTCAGTTTAGGGCTGATGCATTCCTTAAAAGATGAAATGCAAGTCTTGTTCCAAAATGTAAAGGACATCTAAACTATGGGACATGCAAATACTACAGTGAATCCTTTAACTTAAAATGGGAAAGTGGAAATAAACAGTAATATTGACCTGAAAGCCACATATCCCCGCCTCTGTTTCAATATTTGCAGCATCATTGATAGATAAACCCTCTCCATCACCATCTGCTTTTTTGTCCTAAAAATAAAAAAAAATGCCAATTTTACATGAAAATTTATTGTCGGGATTATTGTTTGAAATTTTCTCCTTCTCAATAGAATGGAGCATCACATGGAAGAAGCCAGAGTACCTTATAGTCAGGTTCATCTTGCTCATGTGGGAAGGAATTTGCAGACGATGGTCCATCAGGGACTCTAAAGCCATTAGAATTATCCGAGAGTTGGAACTCGAACAATGTGTCATGCTTTTGGTTTGATAAACCCTCTGACCTTTGCTGTGTCTGTTTACCATTGGACATGCCCTGATTGACTGTAAAATCTTGTGCAAAAGCAGCAGCTGAATTTTGTAATGATATGTCAGGAACAAGGGGACCATTCACCTCTATATTGAAGCCAGATCTATCTGATAAACCAAAACACGCATCCCGGCAGTTGTTTGTGGAGTGTTTCATCAATCCTATAGAAAAGTTTCTGTTTTCACTGACTTCAGGCTTTGAAGTTGTTCCCCAACAAGCATTAGGATCATTGCAGTGCTCTATACAAATGGTTGCTGCATTATTATTACTGGGAGAGACAAGGGGTTTAGAAGAGTTACTGCCACCATAAGCTTTTTGAGTACATGTTTCCTTAGTCCCAAAATAAGATTTTTCCTGAGCTGAGTAAAGATTCTTCTGCTTTAACTGTTTCACAAATTCTGGTTCTTTAAGATTTTGCTGCTCGAACTGTTTGTCATCTCTCAATTCTTTCCCTTGCATTGACAATTTTTTCGAAGAGCTAATCATTTCGAGTGAAGGGCATTTCTCTATATTAAAATTTGAAGGGACATTATATCTCTGTTCACAGTGCAGTTGTGGATCAGAAATAGCATGATGCATTCCGCAACCAGATTTAGTATGCAAACCTGGTCTCAGGAGCAGTTTGGATGCAATACAATGTTGAAGTACAAGATTTTGAGGGATTGACTCACAAGCCTTGTGCAGTTCCACTAAATTACAGTCCTTTTTTCGGTAACAACTTAACGGATTACTACAGCAATAGCATTGGTCCACAGGATACGGACTATATGAATCATTACCTTCATCACATTGAATATTGGTAAATGCCAAATCAGGGCAGCGTTTGAAATCTTTTAACTGATGACCTGCTAGTGGAGACAATGGAGGAGACTGATATGTATTAAACTGGTGAGCAGTAGGATTGTTTGGGACTATTACGTTGAATGGATGAAATGAAGCAAAGGAATCTCTTTGATAGCTCGGACTATAGTCTAAAGTGCTCCGAAACTGGCTTGGTTGTAAGGTCAATGGTTCAAAAGAACAAAGAGTTTCCTCCTCAGATGAATGCACAAGAAAAAGACGGAGAAATTGTGAAATCTTTCCCGAGTCCTGGAATTCCTCTATCATGTTATGGAGATCCTCATCAGATGTCACAGATATAAGTGCATCAAGATCTTCACCAGTGAGTTGGTACTTTATGGTGTGAGGGTGATCATAAATGGCTCTAGTCTTTTTCACTAGTTCATCATAAGTTAAGTTCTTCCTAATTGATATTATTCTAGTCTCACCACCAACATACCTAAGCCTACCATTGTTCGGTCCTCGAGAAATTCTTCCTCCGAAACTGCATAGGAATTTCAGTTTTTTAGAAAAAGGTTTGTATGGCCCTTCTTGACCATCGTTGTAAGGGTGGCATGAGTGTGGGGAGTTTTCTGCTGGTCCCCATGTAGCTCTATTTCCATCCATATAAGCTCTATGATTTCTTGCTATACTTTCGAAACCTCTTCTTTGTATACCTAGTAGACCGTTAAGGTCCTCATAGACCACATCATTTTGAGGAATGGTAAAGCCACCCCGATTGTTTTGTGAATCCTTCATGGTGGGTACTTTTCGTGGCGTGAACTCTGCGGAAAATACTTCACCGGTCTCTAGAGATATACTACTTACACGTTCATCCCTATTGTTTATATCACCCCGGGCACCAACATTAATGTTTTCAGATATAACACCAGACGGTTCACTGCTCATTTTCTTTCCAAGTTTCCTCCCTGTAAGAAGTCAACTAGACCTTTGCGGTCTCGCTTGCCTATAAAAATCAGCTCAATAATTTGAAGCCTTTATTTGTATCACTCAAGAACCTCCCTCTCTGCTGGGCATTTGTAATTCCCTTGTATATTCTATGGCAACAACATAAGAGAAGGGCAACCCCAATGGGAAATGTACTCCTGGTATGTGAGGGAAGATTTGTGCAGCATTTCCCGGTTATGCGAAACAATTGTATATCAATTACAGGGTTCCCCAGGAATGGAAATTGTATAAAATATTTCATTCCTCACCTCCTGTGAAAGACATAATGAGGAAAGCATTTACCCATGGATGTATATTCCTCGTTTTGACCATCTAGGCTATTGCATCTTACATTCCTACTGTTTCAAGAAAATCAGAGCAGCAACTTCAGATAGCTGCCAAATTTGAAACGGAAAAGACCCAACTTTTATTCAAGATTCTTTTGAAATATGCAAAAAAGGGGGGGGAAGAACAAAGATGGAAATGCTATTCCCTAATGGTGCCAAGAGGAAGCAGAATAGTACCTTATTGGGTTATTTAGGTCCTTGGAGATGAGCATTTCTTGGAAAAGGGGGTTTCAGAGGAAATTGGAGGTTGAATTTGGATTGATTTAGCTCTTCAGGTGAAGAGGAGAGACATGCAAAAGGGGAGAGGTAAAATTGCATTTGCATGTGTCGGAAATGGGAGTGAAGGAGAGCACGTGTTTGATCGATACCAGTGGCCCGCAACGGGAGCCAATCTAGGAGCCATGAAGTAGGGCTGCGTCCGAAAACCCGAAAATTGAAAACCGAATCAAATTAAACCGAACCGTAACCAAATAAAACCGAACCGCTAAGAAACAGAAACCGAATGTAAAAAACCGAACCGTTGTTCGGTTCGGTTTTGGTTTTTACTCTTCAAAACCGAACCGAACAAACCGAACTATTTAAAATATGAAATTTATATGTTAATTGTTAAGCATTAATTCTAATTAATCTTAATATCATCAATAGTCTTTGGTTTTCTTGTGTTAGAGAGATAATGTTTGTGTTATGTTTAATTTAATTTAGTTTATAAATTCATTTACACATTCATTGTCTGTAATAATAGCTATATTGAATGATGATCATATGTGTTTACTAGTTATTAGTAGTAATTAACTTTTATTTTTAGATAACTTAAAGATTTTATATTGATAAAATAATAAATATTAATCTCAACTATATCACATAGAACATATTCATGAAAATTTTTCAAACTACTCACAAACAAATTAAATCAATAATATATACAGTTTTATCTATCTCGCATGCTCATATAATTCAAGACATATTTATCTCTTCTCATTTTTATTTATTTGTCGTTGTATTGTGCTTGAATTCTTTATGTAATATGTTTGATCCCTCTAAGTATTATATCAATTTTAAATCAAGTGAAAAATTTTTGGTAAAAAAAACCGAAAAAACCGAAACCGAACCGAAACAAACCGAACCAATCAAACCGTGGTTCCAAGTTTTGGAGTGTAAAACCGAACCAAAACCGAACCGAACTTTTTACTTTGATTCTACATTTGGTTTTAGGTCAAAACCGAACCGCAAGAACCGAACTCACCCCTACCATGAAGTGTCAAACTAGAGAAAAAAATTGTTCGCCCGGGTGAGGAATGAGGATGGACGTGACCCGCTTACCTTCACCTTGTTTCTTAGGGGGGGCGCGGTCCGGTCCGGTCCGGTATTTGACAAAACCCATACCTGGGCCGTTACTATTGAAACGGTTCGATTCGGTTCGGTTTTGGACCTAAACCCGTTCGGTACGGTTCCAAATTCAAACGGTACGGTACCATGTCATACCAATACCAAACAATGCCACTTTTTTCGACAAAATAAAGTTTAGTCATAATCCAAAAATCCACACAAATTTTCGACAAATGCAAGACTTTTGGGCAAGCGGGTTTGAGTCAGCAAATAGTTTGACTTTTGAGTATTTTTTAGATGGGCTAAACATAGAAATACGGAGTAAAAAGTAAGACAAATTGGGCTGGGCTTCACCCTATGAAGATCTTCCCCTGTAGGCACATACAACGAATTAATAACTATTATAAATGTATACAAAGTGGCAAATTGTAAACTGGAAGGACTCATCAAATTCTATACATATACAATAATTATAAATTATTAATTATATAAATAGTAATTTGGTCCGGTTCGGTCCGGTACCGGTTCTCATTTTACGAGAACCGGTCATGGCATGGTTTGGAACCGGTACGGTCCGGTTTGGGACAAAATTTTCGAGAACCATTTGGAACCCCGTTATTCGGTACGGTACCATATCGGCCCGGTTCGGTAGCATGCTGGTTCGGTATTTTTGCCCGCCCCTATTGTTTCTTGTGTAGTCTCAAGCAATTGCTCTTTTTGAAGTGAATGAGATTATGAATACTGAAAGAAGATATAAATTATTGAGAATATGATGGAAAGATAATGAAATAGTGTGATGTATTGAAGGATAAATCAAAATAAAAAGTATGTGTAATAATGTATAATTTTTAAAATTATTGAGGGTATGATGGAGATTTGGAAATGAAAAGATTATTTAGTTACGATTGAAAATGGAATGTTGGAAAATCTTTACGTTACGGAGGTAGTATGTTTTTATTCTCAAAAGCATCTCCAACAATTGATGTTGATGACTTGCTCAATTTTAAAACTAATAACTTATCATTATGGTATTCTTCATCATTACCCCGGTGCCACAAAGACTCCCACCTTCGGTGGGGTAAGGGGGGTCGGATGTACGCAGTTTTACCCTTGTACTAAAGTACAAAGAGACTGTTTCCGGATGACCCATAGTGAAATCGCGTCGAGAATTGCATGGACTGACTGATGCTTCATAACAAAAAAGCGCAGACGGTTTAGTGAGTCATTTTGCTTTATTCCATCATATTCTCAAGCCAAAAAATAGTGAGTCTTTGGCTCCATTGCAAATGATGTAAACTTATCATTATAGTATTATTCTTCTTTTTTCTTTAGAAAGTTAATTAGCCAAAATAAGATGTTAACTTGAGGAAAAAGAGTTATTAAATACTATGTATAACATTATCAATAATAAATTAAGATGAAGAAATTATAGCTAATGTTGAAGTACATTTACTGCGAAAATAATTTTGCTATAAATGTTTATGTGGCTAGTGAAGTCATAATAGCAATTAGTGGACACTGGAGATGCTCTAAAATAGAAGTAATTATTTGAAAAATACTACTATCACTGATGATAGTCATTTATGACAGTATACTATCATGTTTGCAGAATAACGCCAAAAATATAACAGTAAATTTTTAGGATGATAATGTTGTGCTCTAGTTTATGAAAAAATATAATAGTTTTATTCTGAAATTCCCAAATATTTTACATCTATTTCGAAATTTTACATTTTTATAAAAGCCACGTAGTATAACCTTTTCACTTGTATTTTGAGTTTTATAAAAAAAAATACTCCGTAATAAATTAAAGGGATAAATGGCTATATAGCCTAAAGATAGGTCACATTTAGTTTTTTTTTTATCATAAAGAGTGGTCGTTATATTAAAATCGAGAACACATACAAGATAACATTCAGACAGAATTTACAGATCCGATCGTCCTAGGAGTAGACTTAGAGTCTGTCATCTCATACAAAGCAACATGACTCGGTAAACATGAAACGGGCAAATGTAGGCCTAAAACGATCGGAACCGAAACCCTGCCTATCAAAAGAACTCCGAAAATCCAAACATTCAAATCAAACCTGCTTGAACTAAAACAGAAACAATTGCTACTAAAGAGAAACTAATACTGAAATAAAATCTTTCCACAAAGCTCTTCCTAGTATGGAGGTGGTTCCGGAGGAGGACGAACTCTTACAATATGGGTGTCAACGCTCTTACAAAATGGTCGACCAAGACTTCACGATCCAGCCTCGATAGTCGATACAACCTTCCAGTCGCACCTCGTTCATCGGCCAACGCTATATCCTCCCGTAGTTGCAATTCCAAGCATTAGAACACTTAAAATCAGTATATTCTGCCGCTCCAACCCCATATTGATAGGGGCGGCGGAAAATCTTAACCCCTACAAAGAGGGGAGATGGCCGCCAGGGTTCCTCTCGGAGTATAGGATATAGCTTTTTAATGGTTGAAATTGCTTTTGATAATAAAAAGTGAAAATCATCTGTGATTAAAACTTCCTTAAATTGTACGTACTTATATTTTGAATTTGAGAGCGTTTGGTCACGGTTATTAGGCTGAAATGACTACATGAACTTTTTTGAAAGGAAAATTTAAGTTTTTCATAAAATCAATTTCAACTAAATACGAGTAACTAAGAGTGCTAACCATTAAACTTTCAAAAACTATAGCATTAATAACAAACACTAGTATAGTACCCGTGCGATGCACGGGATCAGGGGCGGACCTATTATAGGTCAAAGGTGTTCATGTGAACACCCAAATTTTATAACTAGTAGTGTAAAATACATGTATATGGGTGCTATTGTAAAATTTTCTATATGTATATGAACACCCAAATTTTATAAAATAAATTTGAACCTTCAAAACTAACATCCAAGATCCGCCACTGCACGGGATATCATTCAACTCTTTGAATGTACTTCCCAAATTATTTTAAAATTTAAAGTAACTTTAATAAATAAAAATTAAGTTAATTCAATAATGAAACATGAACTCGTTAATTTAACTTATACAACCATGACAATTTAATGCATACACAAGTTAGTACTCCGTGTTGTTTTTATTCAAAATATAAGAGATCATAAATAGTGAATTATTCTATCAATAGCATCTAAATATTTATTTCTTACTTACATTTGAGTATAAAAACACCAAAAAATCTATTGGTACACATTTTTCATACACATTCATGTTATGTCTTTGAAAATGTGTTATGTGTTATGTCTGTATACAGACAAAAAAATACTCTTCACAAACATGAGTGTGTAGGTGTGTGTATGAAAATGTGTACCTCAAGCTGGATTGATAAAAACACTATGTATCAGACTCGAACCGGTCCAAGTAGGTTGACTTAGAAATCGGCAAATACTTAGAATTCCGGTTGAATATAAGTTAATTCGTAAATTAACTAAAACCCGACCAAACTCATTGACCCGCTTCAAACCCGCCCGAAAACTCGATGACCGGGGACCTGCTATCTGGATAAACCCTCGCCCAGCAATGTTTCAACAAATTGCGTTGAAGGGATAAGACATTTTAGAATCAAATTATTGGGATAATTAAGGAGTGTTTGCAAATACTTTTGCTTAAAAAAGCACTTTTTGAAATGATTTTGAAAAAAAGTGATTAGTAGTAAAAGTTGATAGTGTTAGGAAAAAAAATTGAAAAGTAAAAGTTGGTAGTGTTTGATAAAATAAGTATTTTTTGTGTAATAGAAAAAGTAAGAATCACTTTTCACACAAAAATCGAGAAACGCTGTTTTAAGTAAAAATTATCACTTGAAAACATTAATTTTAACTTTTTAAGCCAAAAGTCAAGAAATGCTTTTTTAAAGGTATTGCAAACCAGAGCCGTGCTTACTTGGAGGCCAATGAGGCAAAGGCCTCAGGGCCCCAAAAAATGTTAGAAATTTAGGGCCCCAAAATTTAAAATACTTTCTATTATATATACTCCGTATGTGTGAATTTATAGTATAAATTGGTCCCCTTGTTTTACCTTTATCTGTTGCGACCCACAA